TGTTGAAACCCATCCTATTCTCATCCGCCCACCTTTGTAACCTGTCCAGGTCAGATTGTAGCCTGTTGCTTCCTTCTAGTGTGCCCACGTCCCCCCACATCTTAGTGTCATCAGCAAATTTGAACAGGGTGCTTTTTACCTGCTTTTTTAGCTTTTGTTTTGCTGGAAAGAACAAGTCAAATTGTACTGGTCTCATCCGGTCATCCTTCACTTCTTTCAGATAGAATTCTTCTTTCTTAAATATAGGTTCTGCTCTCAGTTTTTTGTATCTGAAATTTTGCGTTCAGTTTTTTGTATCTGAAGCAGATTTGGTATCTATTTTTTTTTCATTGTTCCAGGATCATTCTCCAACAATGTAGACTTCATGGAATAGATTTTTATTTCTGACAATATTAAGTCTGATATGCTTAATATGTGTTTTCATGTGAAAATGCAATGGTTATTTCATTAGACTCACAAAAACTCTATTTTGCTAAATACCAATATATTAGCTCCATTAAATGAAGAAAGAACTATTTTGGTTATTTGCTGTCTAATTCCATTATGTGGGAAGTTTCTTTCTGGTTTGTGGCTTTTGTCTTATTTTTTCTCACCATAGGCTTTTAAAGGTCCCAGAGGAAAAGGAATAGTTATAATATTTCATATACAATAATTGTAGTGAGTGGTTTGTTATCAAGGATGACTTTAAATATTGTGTAAATCCCCTCCCTAGTTGTAGCATACATTCTATATTTGTATAAAGATTTCACTTACTCTGTGTAGTCTTTACATATTGCTCAAGTGCTGTTGGCAATCAGTTCTCTGTTTCAGAATTGCTTTAGTTTGGCCTACAGTTCACTGTCACTACATGCCATTTAAAGGTACCAAGCCTCTGATGTCCAAATTGCCCTTACATTATCCCTAAATGCACAGATACTTGGTGACACAAACAGTTTTTAAAAGGCAGTTTTAACTAACTCAGTGGCACTGTAGTGACAATAGCCAGGAAGCATTTATCCTACTTTGCATTTTAATTAGCCATACAAATAATGAAAGTCTTTATCCACACTATTTGTTGATTTGGACAATTACTGGGCTTCATATCTGAGAGGCATAAATTCTTGTGTGTAATATCTTTTATTGGACCAACTGTATGGTTTGTATAGACATAGGCAAATTTTCAGGTCTCAATTCCCTTCCTCAGGCCTCCCTTGAGAGAGTACTCAATGTAGAAAAATTACTCAGTGAAATCATATAGTCTGTGTTGTTACATATGGTGATTAGGCTGGAGAGCCATAATCAGTCTTAAGCTTTCTGAATCTTTGAAATATCACTTTTATTCCTTTGGGGAAAGTGTCTTGGAAAAAGAAATAGTCTGTTCTAGTTATTGTTGGGGTTTTTTAAAATCATACCTCCAAGCCATCAACAGGTATTAGTTAACTGAAAAATGTAAACCAAAACTGTCACAAATAAAAGACTAACAGGTATTAAGGAGAAGCAGAACATCTCTAAGAGATGGAAAAAAAGTTCACATGAGGCAAAATTCCTGGGTATCACAGAATGGAGGAAGATCTAAGATCAAGAAATCACATACTGCTATGCAGAAGACCTGTGAGGGGTGCTGGCTATATAGGTAATGGGGGTGTATGAAATGGGCCGTATTCGATTTGGATTCAGATTTGGCCTGAATTGGGGACGGTGATTTGAATCACCGTCCCCAATTCGACTAGGCCAAATCTGAATCCGAAGATTCAGTGCTGATATGGAGAATCAGTAATTCAGCCATAGACACAGCTTGAAATGTTTTTTCTACATACCTCGAGGTACCAGGCACAGCTTGTGAACATTGCAATGCTGGGGCAGATGGAGCATCCCACAGGAGCGCAGGCCCCCCGCCCCACATGCTTGGTGGTAAACCTGGAAGTGGACCAGAAGTACTTCCAGTTCACTTCCAGGTCTGCGGAGAGGACTCTGGGGGCCCCCCTGCCCCTCTGGCTCAGCGATGGGCCATGGGGGGAACCCAGGTGCTGCCCCAGATCCAGGAGGCACCAGTTGCTGAGCCAGGGGGATGCGGACGGGGGGGGGGCAGCACACTCCCCGGCAGACCCAGAAGGGGACCAGAAGTGCTGCCAAGCACGCTGAGGAGCCCGCTGCGCTCCTGTGGGACACTCCATCTGCCCCAGCATCACAGCATTCATGAGCCACCTGGTACCTTGAGGTGTGTAGAAAAAACATGTAAAGCTATGTCTATGTCTGAATTGTCAAATCTCTCTGAATCTCTCCAAATCGATTTGGAGAGATTAAAGGGTCTCCTGATTTGATTCCAATTTGGAGATTCAGTCACTGAATTGGGCTGAATCTCTGCCAAATTAATTCAGGGACTGAAGTTTCATGCAGCCCTAATAGGTAACTGGTTATCTGCATGCTCGTGCCTCTATTCTGTAAGCAGGTAGTTAAGTTCATTTAATGCACTGTGAGTAGATCCAAGTAAGTCAAGGAGGCTTCTCGCAGTGTATACATGTTATGAAGTGTGTAAGGTTTTTCACAAGATAGGTCAGAGCCTAAAGCTGAAGAACATGGAGTGCCTCTTCCTTGGGGATAGCTTTGAAAACAATAAATTATTTTCCCTCTGAAATGAAAAGTGCTTTTTAAATTAATTACTTGACATTATGTCTTGTCAATCTTGTCAGGTTTGATTTCATTGGAAGGGAATGATGTCCTATCCCCATAACGCAGTGTGATGCAAGGCTGCGAGCAGTAACCTCATCAAATGGCAGCAACCAATTAAAGCATAGATCCAATCTGCATTAAAAACAGTTTAGTGAAGCACAAGGCAAAGAGATTATGCTGCTCTGCAGCAGGTGAGACCGCTGTAATTATTGTCATATTCCTCAGGAGCCAATAAACCCTGCCCTCATTGGCATAATTTAGGATGAACTCTGATACTCAAAAATCCACAGACACCCATAATCTTCATCCTAGTGCCCCTTTTCATCAAGCAGGGCAAGTTAGTGAGGTTTGTGAATTTTTAGAAGCTTTATTTAATCATCAGATCTAAAACCAGAGAGGTGTTAAAAGAAAAGCTTCACAAGCAAACCTAATAGTAGTAGGAAATGACTATATAGAAATCTGGGACAAGACTGGCCTATTCATCCTTTACAGGGCAGCAGAGCTTGCTGTACACAAGCCACTGGTAGTACATTACAGGGAGATACAATCTGTCATTAAGTGTGGGCAGTACGGACTGAAGCTAGAGCATTCAATGTGCAACAGAACAGAAACAAGCCTAGATGATGGAGAATACCACAAGGAAATTGCATTTCACTGTGATTTTTTTATGCAACGCATCATAGAGGGCTCATTAATTTCAACCCATTTTTTTCACAATTGCCCATAATCAGACAAGTAATTATGGGTCTGTGGAGAAGCTTGCCTTCACTTGCACTGGAATTACTACATGGCAGTGAAAGTGCTCTTACTTTCAGCTTCACACAAATTAGCAGCTGCCTCCTTTTGAGTCAAGTTAGCCAACCACTTAGATTGACAAGAAATAAATACATAACACATTGTATGAAACAATAAGATGGGGTTTGGAAGCCTGTTTAGCCCTAATGGTCAATTCTCACCTTTTCATGTGTTTCGGGGAGCACTCCCTCTCCAGGTTGGAGGATGCATGCTTCACGTGCATTGCGTTGTAGGAAGTGTGAGTGTATTCATTTTCATCACTGTAGTCAGGACCAAGTAATGTCCGAGCCCATGTTCCCATATCATAGGGAGGAAGCGTACCTCCAAATTCAGAAGGCAGGCATTCGGGGTGTATAAGTTGGTGAAGGCTGTTCAAATTGTTACCGTGGAGAAAGATCTTTTAAAAAAAAGAAAAAAGCCCCAAGGCATAGTTAATTCCTTAAAGCAGAATAATAATGTCTCTAGCACCCTAATTTTACACTGCAGTTTACTAGAGAGTGTTTAAAAATCACTCAGCAGTATTCTAACTGTATTCCTACTAAAGTTAGTCGGGGTTAAGCACCTGATGAATAGAAGCACTATTAGGGTCAACACTTTACTCGCATGTGGTGCAAGAAACAATATCTCCTCCAAAGACCTAATGGTAAGATTTGCCAGACAAAACCAAGGGAAAATGGCTTGTGGGATTATTCGTGTTGTGAAGGTGGGAAAGATTCTTACATGAAGTACATTATAAGGAGGAATCTGGAGAAGAGGGAGATAGTTCTCCTAACAGAGCCAAATGGAAGAAGTGAAGAAGAGAGTAGAGAGATGGAGACAAAGTGACTGGAAAGGTGAAAAGGTTAGAAGGAGCACAGAGAACAAGATGTTAAATTTAAATAGAAAAACACCATGTTGGTCCGTTTAAGATGAGGGCAGGTATCTGGAATTTGGCACAGCCTCAGTTAAACCTGGGGTCCAGGCAAGTGGAACAGAAAGAGTCTATCACACCCCCAAACACAGATCTAGGTATTTACCCAAGCTGTGCATACATCAGTCATTTTTCTTGGCAGGAGACTGTGTGTGAATGTTTTAATCCACCTTTGTTTATCTCCTGTGCCACATGAGTTTTGAGAATATGGCATTTTAACTAGCTTTGGACCAAAAGCCTGCAAAATTGCTAATTTTGTGTTGTTTCATTTTAAAATTATACACCAATCTCAGCCCAGGAACTTCACCAATCTTTTTATGAACCTTACAATTTTTTTACTTTGCATAGCCCGAGTTATCCTGCCACTTTCAAATGGAGTTTCAGACTGAAAGGAATCCTCAACCTGTCTGATACTTATCAGATGGATCCCATAGCAGATTTGATGCCAGAGTTTGCTTTGGGGACTTTAGATAAAAAGGATAAATGGCTAAGGGGCAGTGCAGTCCAATAATTCAGGTGCTTTCTGCAATGAAGGCCTGCTGCTTCTCCTGCTGCGTGGGCAAATATTCTACAGGCATGGAAATTTTTGTGGACACCAGTGAGAACTCGTGCTATGCAAAAAAAGGCAACCTGCTGAAGGAACAGAATGGAAATTTCACTCACACTAATAGTTCTTGCACTGGGCTGAAGTTTAGCTTTCTAAATGGGATCTCAGTATGGGACTATGATGACTCTCCACTACCCCAATTCAGAAAATACCACTTCCCCTCTCTCCCTCCATAAATGTGTACTATAGAATATCCCTGTCCTTTGTAATTCATCAAAGGTTTTCTCTTCGCTGACTTGAATTCTGACAATAATCTGCTTCTCCTGAATTATTGATTCAATCCAGGTCATTTGCAAGCTCCAGCTGAGACTTCAGTTAATAGTTATAGTTCTTAGAGGCCACACAGAAAATACGGAGAGAAAAAAGTATGAAACAAAGAAAGCAGGAAGCTATTCTAGACACTTCAGACCAGCAGCTTCCTATCTTGCATTGTTTTCTCTTAATTACCCTTTTCCTTGTCTTGTCTTTGAGGAAGGGTTTGATTAGCGTGTACAGGGCATGGATATACCAGGGCTGGTTGACAAAGTGGACTCCTCCAAAGCGAGCAGGAAAGCTGTCCTATAGAGAAAGAGAGAAATGAAGCCAATTAACAGATGCATGGATTTAATCAGGCAGCCAGCAGGAATTAAAGTCAGTGAAACAAATTTACCTCTAATCACTTGATGTCCTAGTTAATGAGTAGTGGGGTTGTGGTAGGGAGAGGTTGGGGAGGACTTAGAAACATTTGTATTGATTAATTCTGTTTAAGCAACCTATATTCTTCTCCATCTATACATTAATGCATTGATTTCTGGCAATGTAAAAAGGACTGGATAGCAAAATAACTTTGCCCAGATGCCTTCTAATTACACAAGGGTAATGTACTTTTCCAAGAGGGGAAATGCAGCAGGAAAGATGAACACGGCTTGTTTCCTGAAGATCCCTTGAGAGGCATAATTCTAATTCTTTGCTGTGTGCATAACTAAATTCCAAGTTCCCAGGCACATTCTTATACACAGCTCACCTTTTCACCCTTTCTGCCTCCTTACTCCCTCCCCCAAATCATCATTACAAAAGCTGACCTTTCTGGGTGAATGAACAGCACATTATGGGCATGAGGATGGTGGGAAATGCTGATAAGTGAAGGTGTTGAGAGAGAGCACCATGACAGCACCATGGAAACTGACACAGCCAAGTGCTTGCTGCTGAGGTTTCATACAAATCCCCATGAATTAACATTCAGGTAGAGTAGTCTGCTGGAGGTGCGGGCAGTTGCATCCTATTCCACTGTGGCCCTGTGGCATACTGAATAAAATAGGAGGCTGCTGAGATGTCTTTAAAGGTTACTGTATGTTGTGAATGGTATTTTGTACCTATGTTCACATCTTACAAATGTCTGGGAACTGTCAGGGAACAGACTAATGTCTTTTCCCATCTGTGGAACTGCAGTTCTGTGAGTACCAATTATTTGCACAGCAAGAGACAGGTTGCCATTGTTCTCAGAGCACCGCACAGGAGCATTGCATACCCATTATCTTCGTGAGCCACGCATTACCCTTGATATGCTCCTATCCCTTGTAGTTTGCTGCAGCAACCCGAACGGTCTTTATGACTAGACCTAATGACTACCTAACAGCCCAGCTATCCCAGCTTCAGTTTGTACAACAGAAAGTTTTAAAGTTTGATATGGAATTATTTCATGATGACTCGGGAGCCCCAAGATGCTGCGTTTAGAAAAGTTGCTTGTCAGAGAAAAGTTCTGCTCAAAAGAAAGGCTTGTATCTAGAGAGGAGTGCCATGCATTTTTCCTGTCTGCTTCCCTCTCACTCTTGGGCAAGATGAAAGTATCTGCAATTGATTTTCTATTGGAGGCATGGAGTTTTTAGGAATTATCTTTCTCCATTGTGCTTTGTGATTCCTTGGGAAGGGGCATGTCAAGGAAAGCTTGCTTGGATATTCAGAGTATGTTTCACAGTGTGAAAGTGTTCCTTGTATTGTGGAGCCTTTACTGACTGTGAATCCCTATTAAAATTTGGCCCTAAGCCTCCACCACCAATATCAACAATAGTTTTGTCATAGATTTCTTTGGCAGTAGTTTGCAGATGCCTTAGTGGTCCAAATGAGAGCACTGCATAGGAGCATTGACTGTCCCCTTCATCCATGTTCATGTCTCTTGCAATATACTCGGTAGTCTTTATGACTGGGCCTAATAATGCTGTAAGAACCTCAGTTTAATCAGGCTGTGTCAGTTAGTAAAACGTTATTTTCATTTCATCTGAATAAGTTTGATCATTTGAAATCAATAGAACTCTTTCCATTCCATTCAAAGCCTAAAAGCAGTGGTAGTAAAGCTGTGTCACCTAACATTTTTTTCACACAAGCCATCTCTGCACTTATATGGCCTCAATTACCATATTAGCTGACAGCATCAGAAGACACGTCTCCAGAGAAATCAGAGGCACCATTGCAGCCTACGCAAACCTATGCACAAGAGCTTTAACATGTGTTTATACCACTCAATTATTACACTATAAACATGTGTTTATACCACTCACATATTGTACAAGAATTTATTGCTCTCGGGTGTGCCATTCGAACATGCACCTGGGACTGCAGCACGTTGAGTCAGGTTGGAGCAGGTCGGCTGGCAAGAGACCTGGGGGTCTGCCTGCCTGCCAGCCTGGGGCGGCTCCGACATGGCTGAACATACTAGAGAGGGATTGGCTGGGGCACAAGGATGCTTCAGGGTGAGGCTAGCCAGCCAGCAGCTTCAACACTGAAGCACCCTCGTGCCACCTGTCAGGAGGGGGGTCCTCCCATGGGTGATCCTGCAGACCAGGGTGGGAGGGCAGTCGGGGTACACCAGTGCTCTCAAGGGGTTCATTACCACTGCACATGCATTGCTGTAGAGTAAATAACTCTGTCATAGGATAGTACTTGTATTTACAAATACAGCAGAGTTAATTAGTTTACTGCAGCCTAATAAGGCTGCATGTGTAAATGCAGAATTTACTGTGGAGCTAATTAGGCAGCTCTGCAGTAAATGCCTTGTGGAGCTGTACCCACTGAATCACAGCATGCCTGCTCTGTCCAAAACTGAAAGGTAGGGTAGCTTCCTTAGTGCCGCACTGTGCACATGCCAATAGGTCTGGCCTTCAGCACAACTTCTTGATGTCACACCATAGCAGCAATAACATTTCTGATACAGAAGGTAGTGCATGGGTCATTTTTGACCTGGAGGGATGTGGGCAGTGGGGTTCCACAGGGCTTGGTCCTCGGGCCTGCACTGTTCAACATCTTCACTAGTGACTTGGACGAGGGGGTAAAAAGCACCCTGTTCAAATTTGCTGATGACACCAAGATGTGGGGGGATGTGGGCACGCTAGAAGGGAGGAATAGGCTGCAATCAGACCTAGACAGGTTACAGGGGTGGGTGGATGAGAATAGGATGGGATTCAACACCGACAAGTGCGAGGTGATGCACCTGGGGAGGAACAACTGGCACCATACCTACAGGCTGGGGAACTCCTTTCTTGTCAGTGCAGAGGCAGAAAAGGATCTTGGAGTCATCATTGAC